TTTTAAGAGCCTCGGTGTTCCGAAGTTCGGTGTTCCGTATCATCCCAAATATTCGGTTGTCAAACCGAACTTACGGTCCTTGTAACTGAACGTTCTGCATGTATGACCAATCTTAGTTCGTCAGTTCACTTTACGGCACATGTTCGGTTACGCGAATCGAAAGTTTGGTTTGACAAACCGAAAATTCAGTTCGAAGAACTTTATTAGTTGAGACGATATGGAACACCGAACTTTGGTACATACGACCAAACTTTTTTTTCCAGTGGCATATATCTTTGAATTTTACTGGTTTTCTTGGTTTAGAATGATTCATAAGGCTCCCGCGCAAAGGACATAATCCTTGGTTTGACTGAAAATGGAAATGTTGCATGTGTGAGGAATTTGCGATTTGACTCTTGATTGTAATATAAAAGTTCGTGAGAAACACGATGGTGCCACCGGTTTTCTCTGAAATCAACTTTCAAACTCAAAAAAAGCTCTCAAGTTGAGGCCAAAATGGAGGGGATATCCCACCCTACCCTGAGAGTCCACATCTACATCAAGACAAACTCTCCATGCAAAGATAGGGAGCAAATACAGTAGCAGGGCTGCCACTTTATTTAGGGACTCGAAAACTGAAAACACGGCATCCCTGCTAATGTATTTGCTCCCTATCTTTGCATGGAGAGTTTGTTTTGATGTAGAGGTGGACTCTTAGGATAGCGTGGGATATCCCCTCCATTTTGGCCTCAACTTGAGAGCTTTTTTTGAGCTTGGGAGATGATCTCAGAGAAAACCGGTGGCACCATCGTGTTTCTCACGAACTTTTACATAAGAATCAATGGTCAAATCGCAAATCCCTCACATGCAACCTCTCCATTACTTTAATAGGTGCACGTGTTTTCAAACAGACATCAGAGAAAAGAAGAAAAAAATGGACAAGTCGGCAACAGCGCGATTGTTAGCGGCGCTTCAGCCTCGCCGGTGGAAACGAAAGCAATGAATACTCGAGGAGGAGTGCGGCCGAAATCGGAGCGGTTTAACCTGTCGCGCGTACCGCGTATTGCGTCCCGAGCCAGTGCAGGCGCAGTTAAACGTGGGTATCGGATGATAATGGCGGAGGCGACCCCCTCCTCTTCACCCGCCCCCACCCCCGCGTCCCCGCCGCCGGGGGCGAGTGCTTCACCTCTCGAATCCCGAACGGAATGGAATCGAGACAGCAATACAGCAATAAGGGTTACAACCCCATCAACGCCGCAAACACATGAACGGATTGATTGCGGCGCCGCGTTGCCGCGTTTCCGTCTATTTTCCATCGGAGGAAATTCGTGTCCAAAGCGAAGGGAGCTTTCTTTGAATATTTACCGTGCATAAGATTGGAACACCGATGGGCCGATGAAATCGATCGCTGAAAAAAAAAAAATCTCGGTGTATTTACTAAGAAAAGAGTAAAATTACCAAGAATTCAGGGTTCTATATGATCCCAGTTTTTTCTTGGTAAAAGTACCATTAATGGAATTGGTAATTTTACCGAGAAATCTCGGTAAAATTATTGACTTTCTCGGTAATTTTACTGGACCTTGGTAAAAACGCCAATATTTTCTATCGACTATGGTAGGATTACCGAGATAAAATGGCAAAGTTACCGGGAATTGATTACCAATAAAAGTGGTATTCTTACCTGAAAAAAACAGTTAAAGTACCGGTTTTTAGGTAAGCTTACCAGTCTATCTTGGTAAAATTACCAATGATTGGTAAAAAAAGTGAGATGGTAAAGGTACCAACGGACCTTGGTAAAAACGCCGAGAATTTTTTTCAGTGATAGACATAGGGTTAGTGGAGCGATCCTATCGGCTGAGAGGGGTGGTATAGACCAAGGGGGAAAATGATGGACTAACAGAAAGGTCCCTCTTGGTCTAGTTAGGCTAATTTTTACCTGTTTCGTCTAATGCAAGTACCCACTTTCAATTTTAGGATCGCTCCTTTTTCTCTAAGTTTTCCATGTCTATCGAACGGATTGTCTAACGGATTCACTGCGAAGCCGCATCGTCGCGTTTCCGTTTATTTCTCCCGGAAAAAATTCATATTCAAAGCAGAGGGGCAGTTCTTTGAATATTTATCGCGCAGGAGATTGGACCAATTTCGATACCGTGATAGCGAAGAGAGCAGTAAGTGTCAAATTTTGTTCTTGTTCAGGGGATGCCCATCTTGCATACGAGGAAGATTGAAGGTGTTTCTGCTCCAAGTTACAGCCATAAATAGTTTTTCGTCATATTGCAAAATGTAGTCCTACTGAATACGTGTCCATCTCTTTTTGAGACAAGTGATTTTATTCTTGTAACAATCAGTGACGAGGTGTGAATGATCGACCATCGATATTTCCCAATTTGAAACTAGGGTAAGGAATAGATTATCAAGTTGCTCATTTTGAACACCCTGTTTATCGATCCTTTCCCATAGGTTTAAATGGGAGATCGATCGCAATATCGCAAAGCACACCACGCCACTAGTAAAAATTCTGGAGAGCGTACGAAATTAAAGTCCACATGCAATATAAGTTTCCTCATCAAAATTCACGTAAAATTTTGTCTACATTAATGGGTCATTAAACCATAAATGAGCTTTGATTTGCGAAAACATTTTTCTAAAAGTTGATGACACGTGGAACAAGATGCGCACATTGAAATGTTTTGCCGCCCCCTTCTCATTCGTTTTGAAACTCGATAAAAACCATCAAATGAACGTGCCAGCGGGGGAGGGGTGCATAAGACGCATTTATTCGTGTTGAATACATTTTTTGGGAAAGCCCTGTCAACACTACTAGCAAAAGTTCACGGATCTTTGCTTAAAAGTTAAGTTCCGTAAACCTATCTCTGTGTGGACAAGGCCTTCCATTCATAAGAAATGAACGAAAAAATTATGAAAGAACAAACATGAATGTGGTTCAACGATTTTAACTTCCGCCGCCGCGCCGCACTGACCGCACCGTGTTTGGCGCAATGCGTGAAGTATTCACGCAGTCTTGTAGGCGCTATGCGTTTCACGCTGACCGCACTGTGTTTGACGCAATTCGTGAAGTATTCGTGCAGTCGTGTAGGCGCTAATATGTGTTACATGCCGATCGCCGCGCCGAGGGCTTCTCCTTTTCATCTCAAGTCCTCGTTATCATTTCTCTCCAAGTCGCGCCGTTCCAGGCCAAATTGCGTGTTTGGTCTCTCTCTCAACTCGACTTATTGAAGGTGCTGTCTCTTGTATCACTAAGAGAGGACAAAATTAGAAATTACTATACTCTCAGGAAATGACAGATTTTGTCGCCTTTTCTCGTTTGTAATTTTGTTTTTATAAATCCGATTTTTTTATATACCTTAAAAATTCGCAAATTTTTGCCGCCCCTTAGATTTGCCGCCATGGGCCGCGGCACATGTGGCCACCCCCTTAATCCGGCCCTGCTGCACGGCATAAATAATTCAAAGAAAGCACCCTCTGCTTCAAATATCAATTTTCTCCGGTGGGAAATCAACGGAAACGCGACGATGCGGCTTCGCAGTCGATCCGTTAGACAATCCTTTCGATGTAAGAGGAAAACTGGGAAAAAAAGGAGCTATCCTAAAGATGAAAGTGGATGGTTGCAATGGACGAAGCAGGTGAGATATAGACTTACTACTGAGAGACGCTTAGAGCGCAATAGGAAAGTCTGAAATACACTCCTGATTTCACTATCTGCGTAAGAAATATGCGTTTTTCAAAGCTTCCCGCTTCAAAAACGATCCCACGGCACAGGTGAACATTTCGTCAGAGAAGTCGTTTCATCGAACCCTTGCGCGTTAGGGGCCGTCCACAAATTACGTAAGGCACTTAGAGGGGGTAGGGGGTCAATAGGTGCCTTACGGAGGGGAAGGGTTGAGGTCAAGCGCTGTCTCACGTAAGCCAAGTTCCAGTTTTCTTTTTTTAGACTTTTAATATTTGACTGTCAAAATCTTATTTCTTCCAAATTTCGTTAATTTTAAAATTGACTAGTCCGAATTTTGTTAATGTAAATACTGACTGGTCCAAATTTCGTTTTTTTTCGGACGTTTAATGTTTTTTCGTTAAAATGTAATTTTTGCTAAACTTTTTGAATTTAAAAACTGGTTATTTTTTCAATACAACCGTCAGTCTTCATGATCTTCTACCAGCGATTAGTGGGTCTGCAAGCCTTACGTAATTATTTAGGGGGTTACTCACAAAGATTTTAAGTTAGGGGTGAAGTTCAGACTTTCCCGAAACGCTCACTGTGGTGTTTGAGCCATTTCCTGTAAGATATGACTCTTCTTTTTGCTCCAGCTGGAATTTGCAACAGGTCTATTTCGACTCAAAGGACATAGGGGGAGAAGGAATCCCCAAGATTTTAATCCCATCGCCGTTGCTGATTTTATGGCGATTGCCGTTAGGGGATGGTGCCATTTGAAACTCTTTTTTTTTGCGCCCTAGTGGAACATGTTATACATTAATAAATTCGACTAATCCTCGATCATATCCTCGACGTGATTTTGTTCGCGGACATATTTTTGCCAACAAAGCGGCTGGACTCCAAAAAAATAAATGGTTTCTTTTTGATTCCTTATGCTATTTTCAAGAGAATGGAAAATAAGACGACGGTTGCAACGTTAAGACGTTGGAGAGCGTTCACCGTGGCACCTCGTCAATATGTAAAAGTATGGTTTCGCGCGGACGGAAGAGAGCGCTGCAAGACGCTGTTGAACTAAACGTGGAGCGTAACCTAGAAAACCTACATATATACAAGCAATGTCTTGTCATCATGGAGTAAAATATATAGGGGTCATTAGTGAAGGGGTACTAATTACCTAAAGATTTTTCTAGAACTACAACGACAAAAAATTTGAACGATCCTTGAGAGAGTCAGTAAATAAAAGTCGGTTGCAGAGTTTTAAAACGTAAAGATATTCATTTCTCAAAGACAAGCCTACAGGCATTACATAAAGTGGACAAAATAGGAGAAAAAAGGTAGAAATGATACATACAAAAAATTGAGAAACTGGGTATTGCTTCTTGCCACGAAAAATGGCGCCGATTCCCATACAGCAGTGTGGGCCTTTATCAGTGGATACATTAGTGACATAGCCGATGCAAAACGACGGGAAAGAGCGTACACTACTAACGTGGTGAACGCTCAAAAGAGAGAAAATCACGTTTGCTTCAGCATAAGTGTTTTTTTTTCTATTTAACACGGGATCGTATTCTCTCTTTGCGCAGCACAGAGTATGGCTGAAAGTATTGTTGCCATATAGTGCTGCAAAATCAGCACTTTTCCCCCGTGCAAAACATCCGCTTTTAAATCCAAAGCCTGGCAACCTTGACTGAAAGGCGGCTCATCAAGAATCGTAGCCTTACTCCGATTAATTCACCCGAGCGCAGGGGAAAGATCCGCCGCGCTGGATTATTTTAATGATCATTGTTGTTACGTCAAAGACTGAACACATCTTGTAATAGGCGCCCGAGAGGGGAAAACGAAAAAGTGTCGTGGCTATAAATGAGTACGGGGTGTTTGTAATGTTAGTGCTCCAGATACGCGTTCGACATTTAAATGAATGGTAAATGGACCTAGTCACGGTGTGAACTGGAACCTTTATGATATTGATGGCCGAAGTTGAAACAAGACGACGGTTCCAACGTTAAGACGTTGGAGAGCGTTCACCATAGCACCTCGTCAATAAGCCCTGGATAGACGATCAAATTCCCGAACCAATTCCGATCAAAGTAGCATCAAAGTGTCGGGAGTCATCAGTCTTAAACTCATTAATTTGCTTCATTTTAAAATGAAAACTTGGCAGAAATGTTTCCTGTGGCAGGAAATGATGAATGGTGGCACTTCGTTCTGATCATACTTTGAACAAAAAAGTGCGGCCCGTCAAAATTTGATGGTAGATGGTGACCACCAGTCATCAGCATGTCTATACTTTGATCGGAATTGGTTCGGAATTTGATCGTCTATCCAGGGCTATATGTAAAAGTGCTTTTGCGCGTACGGAAGAGAGCGCTGCAAGACGCCGTTAAACTATAGACGTGGAGCGTAACCTAGGAAACATACATGTACACAAAAACACGTCTTGTCATCATGGAGTAAAATATAGGGGTCATGCAGTGAAGGAGTACTTTGTACCCAACAATTTTTTTAAATCTCCGACGACTAAAAATTTGAACGATCCTTGAAAGAGTCATTAAATAAAAGCACGTTGCAGAGTTTCAAAACGTAAAGATATTTATTTCTTACAGGCATTACATAAAGTGGACAAAATAGGAGAAAAAAGGTAGAAATGGTACATAAATAAAATTGAGAAACTAGGTATTGCTTCCCGCCACGAAAAATGGCGCCGGTTCCCATGGAGCAGTGCGGGCCTTTACCAATGGATACATTAGTGACACAGCCGATGCAAAACGACGGGAATGAGCGTACACTACTAACGTGGTGAACGCTCAAAACTTGTATCTGAAATGCATAGCTCATGTTTTGTTTTTTTGAAGGAAAACAGTCTAATCAAAAGTTTCTGTTAAAATTCCCTATCACTCCTCCTACACCAAGAGAGTCAACACAATAATTTGGTTAATGAACTGGGTTACTGAAGAATTTCGTAAAGGAAATCTAAGGTCTTTTTTGGAGACAGTTTTTTTTTAATTTTCTCAGGTAAACTGTGCCTCTCTCTGTCTTGAAAGCTCCCCGCAGTGATGGGGACATTGATTTCTACGGGTGGACGCAACTATTCGTGTTCAGCAGCTATCTGTGTTGCATACATAAAAATTGAAGGCGCATCGGGTTTCCACATATTTAAAAGGTATTGATACCAGCTATCACATACGCCAAAGAACACACTGACTTAAGGTGGTGTTACGATGGACGCCGGATTTTTTGTCAGGACGACAAGCGATATATCGCATCGATTGCTTCCATTTTTCCAGCGTAATTTTTCTCGAATTTTGAGATCGCAATTCTAATGACAGGGGACTAAAGAATTTGCTGCTCGAAAAATAAAAACGTGAACCAATCGACGTGATTCCATCGACACCGATTCGATCGACAAACATGTTTGTCGATCTATCCGCGGATTTGTTGTTCAATAGATTGGTTTTGTCGATCGATTCACGGTTGTCGATCGAATCGGTATCGATGGATTCTTGTCGATCGAATCGACCCCAGTTTTTTAATTAATTGTCGATCGAATCGGTGTCGATTGATTCATGTCGATCGAATTGATAACATTTTTTTAAATTAATGGTCGATAAAATCGGTGTCGATCCATTCACGTCAACCGCTTCACGTTTAAATTTTTTGATCAATGGAGATGTTGCATATGTGAGGAATTTACGATTTGACTGTTGATTTGTAAGTAAAAGTTCGCGAGAAACACAATGGTGCCACTGGTTTTCTCTGAAATCAACTCTCAAGCTCAAAAAAAGCTCACAAGTTGAGGCCAAAATGGAGGGGATAGCCCACACTATCTTGAGAGTCCACCTCTACATCAAGATAAACTCTCCATGCTAAGATAGGGAGCAAATACATTTACAGGGCTGCCACTTTATTTGGCGACTTTAAAACTGAAAAGACAGTATCACTACAACAAATGTATTTGCTCCCTATCTTTGCATGGAGAGTTTGTTTTTGATGTAGAGGTGGACTTTCAGGATAGCGTGGGATATACCTTCCATTTTGGCCTCACTTTGAAAGCTTTTTTTGAGCTTGGGAGATGATTTCAGGGAAAACCGGTGGCACCATCCAGGACCGGATGTACCTTCTTGCCGCCCATGGGCCGCCTGTATTTTGCCGCCCCATCTCATTCGTTTTGAAAAATCCATAGAAACCACCAGGTGAACGTGCCGGAGGAGGAGGGGTACATAAGACGCGTTTACTCGCGTTTGGCACATTTTTTGTGAAAGCCCTGTCAACACTAGCGAAAGTTCACGGAACTTTGCTCGAAAATTAAGTTCCGTAGACCTATCTCTGTGTGGACGATGCCTTTCATTTATAAGAAAAGAACGGAAAAATTATGAATAAGAAAACACATGAATGTGATCTACTGATCTTTATTTCCGCTACCGCGCCAACCGCACTATGTTTGGCGCAATGCGTAACTATCCCTACAGTCTTGTAGGCACCATGCGTTTCACGCTGAACGCTGCCGACCAAGTGACCGCACTGTTTTCGACGCAATGCGTGAAGTATTCATGCAGTCTTGCAGGCGCTATGAGTTTCACGTCAACCGCTGCTGACCGCACTACGTTTGACGCAATGCGTGAAGTATTCATCTAATCTTGTAGGCGCTAATATATGTTTTATGCTGACCGGTGCGCCGATAGGGCCTCTCCTTTCCATCTCAAGTTCTCACCATCATTGCTCTCTGCGCCGTGCCGCTCCAGGCCAAATTGCGTGTTTGGTTTCTCTTTCAACTAGACTAATGAAAGGCACTGTCTCTTTTCTTGTATTACCGAAAGACGAAAAAATTAGAAATTACTATACTTTAATTCTCAGGATATGAGAGATTTTTTCGCCTTTCCTAATTTGTGATTTTTTTTCTGAATCAGATTTTTTTCTTGATACCTACATTTGAAAAAATTACAACATTTGCCGCCCCCTAAATTTGCCGCCATGGGCCGCGGCCCATGTGGCCACCCCCTTAATCCGGCCCTGATTTGTTTTGATGGTGCCACCATCGTGTTTCTCGCGAACTTTTACATAAGAATCAATGGTCAAATCGCAAATCCCTTACACATGCAACATCTCCATTGACGGGTTTGTCGATCGATTCACGGTTGTCGATCGAATCGGTATCGATTGATTCCTGTCGATCGAATCGACACCAGTTTTTTAATTAATTGTCGATCGAATCGGTGTCGATTGATTCATGTCGATCGAATTGACACCATTTTTTTAAATTAATTGTCGATCGAATCGGTGTCGATCCATTCACGTCAACCGCTTCACATTTTAATTTTTGATCAATTCATGCCATGCCGATCGAATCCATACCTTACTCTCTATCGTCGGATTATTTTTCTGGACGGTCCTGTATAAGTTAATGAAGAGCGCGGAGTGAAAATGGTGAAAAATCGGGTTGACGGCAGAGGCGGTGGTTGGTGGTCGGTTGCTGCGATGCGGCGAAAACGCGGCGGTGTAGGTAAATAGAGTGCAGATTGAATAATAAGAGTTTGGCATGCTGCCGAAGTGAATCAAGTGAGTCCAGTGAATGAGGAGCCGGTAATTAATGGTATTTAAATGTTACTTGATTACATGCCCCTGTGTCCGTGTCTGTGTCCACGGATGCGTCGGTGTGGGTGCGAACCTCCAAACCAGCGCTAGGTGGTAAGTCGCCTCATGGTGCTCCGCAACCCGTTGCCAGCTTGTGACCCATGGTTCTCATTTGAATCAGCGAGAACGAAAACACGCCAACTCGAAAAATTAAAGTAATCAAGACCCACACAAAACTGCACGGTAAGTGTAGAGGTTAGTCTAAGAAAAATATTTTTGGTGTCGAAAGACAAGTCCTTAAGAACACTATAAAGGTCCGAGTTTGAACAGATGCCCTAACTTCAATGACCTTTATTAAAGTCGATTGTCTTCAATGAAAATTGAGCATTTTCGAGTTACCGAGTTGGTGTGTTTTCGTTCTCACTGGTTCATTTAGCGTTGAGCATTTATTATATTTATTCATAGCGTAAATCGTCACCTTCCGCGGCCAAATTATCACAAGCGCCGTGTGATGTTTCAAAGTTCCCGCCGCCATTTTATTTTTTTACAGAGAAATCATTCGACGAAGATGTCCGAAAATTTCACTGAATTTTCTTTGTGCTGTCGATGAAATTCAGTGAAAATGTCAAAAGATTCAACTAACAATTCCCTGTTAAAAAAAAATAAAATGGCGGTGGAAATTTTGAAACGTTGCGCGTCGCATGGCGCTTGTGATACTTAGACCGGAAGGTCTCGATTTTCTCAGTTTCACCGTTGATATGTGTACATAGAGTACATAGAGTCGTAATGTAAATGGGAGAGCTGGCGCCATGTTCTGCTCGACGAATTCCGAGCCCGGTGTGCGCCGAGTTCGGGTCGCCTTTTCGATACATTTTCGATCCAAAAT